AGCGGAGTTGCGTGTGTGTGTCTGATGGAAAGGGGACGATGCGTAAGGAAATGGTCTCTGGAGATGGTTAGATATATATATATATATATAGTGAGAGAGAGAGAGAGTGAGAGAGGGAGCTGATTTCTGAGACGCGGGTGACCTTGTGCCACAGGCACTTCTTTGTTCTCTTGTCATCGTCCCAGGGAGATGTCGCTACACTTATCTCGATTGCTGATGTACTTTCATTTGCCTCTATGGGTGTCGTCTTCTGTTTATATGCGCAAATGCACACCGATGTACTTCTTGTAGGACCCACTTTTTTTTTTCCCCCCCCCCTTTACTTGTGGACTTCCTTTTTTTTTTTTCTTTTGTGTGTTCTTGATCGCCTCGTTCATTTTTCCCGCCCTCTTTCAGCTGCGGAGGTCGCAGTGGTGGTGAGTGGGGGGGGGGGGGGGGAGGTTATGTGTGTGTGTGTTTTTGTGAGTGCCGTATCTTCGTCCTCAACTCGCTCGTCCTTTTTCTCTTTTTCCCCGTAGTATTCTTTTTACGCTTTTCCTTTTGACCGTGTCTCTCCCCACCTATATTTCTTTCCTTCTTTATGTGACACTATATACGCACATCACCATATATTTATCTATTGTGAGGATGGCTTTGTTTCGTTTGCGCATTTTTTACATGAATTTACCTCTGTTCCTTCGCTCAGCTTCTTTCTTTTTCCGGCCCTGGGTTATGTTGTAATTCCCTCCCCCCCCCCTCCCCTCTTGTGTATATGTGAAGCCGTGGGCCACGGCGAAGGGAGTGCGTCCGCAAAAAGCAAATAATAATAATAATAATAATAATAATAATAATAATGTGAACTGAGCGAGAAAAACGACGGGAGGGGGAGAAAAGTGGGGAGGGGAGGACCCTGCCCCCCTCACGTACGAGGACAAGAAGGAATTTTATTTTATTTTCTAGTTTCTATTTGTATTTTGTTTTTTGCCACTATTTCTACCATCACACTCATTTTTCCTACGGCTATTGTTTCGGTTGTCTCCAGAGTTGCGTGTTGCGTACACGTGGGCATGTGCACGGTAAAGCATAAGAACGCCCGCCAGCCACCGCAGCGCGGGGTTGGGCTGTGGGGAAGGGAGAAAAAACGCAGGAGAGGAAGAGCAAGAGGGGAAGAAGGCAGAATGTTCACCCCTGTGTGTACAGCTGCATTTGATACGGGGGAGAAAAGGTCCAGGTACTTTCAAAGGCTCTTTCGTGTCGTTCTTCTTTTTCTTGCACTTCTCTTTTCCCTCCCTCCCTCCCTCCCTCCCTCCCCTTTCCCTTCTCCACCTCATGCTCAGACTGAAAGCTTGCGTTTTTGCTGCAGAGTGCTGAGGCTTTCGCGGCAGTGGGCGGGGAGCAAAACAAACGCCAGGCGACTAATAGAGTCTCAAAGTAGAAGATGCGGGAGTGTGATCGAAGCAGTTTTGGGGGGCAGTCTTCTGTGGCGCTCTAATTGCTTCGCCTCCGCCCTGTGTTTCCGCTTCTCGTTCCATGTGTGCGTGTGTGTGTGAGTGTCTGAGTGTGTTTGGTGGTTGAGCTGTTTCTCGCTTCTTGTGCGCTATTTGCAACCCGGGTTCTATTCTCTACCGTTTAGCTTAACCGCAGGCATGGTAGTATTGTTACCTTTATTATTGCTTTGTATTCTTCTCTTTGTTTTTTGTTTCTATTTTTCCTTTCCGGTGCTGTGCGTGTGGGGGGAAGGGGGACGCTTGTCTTTCTATGTGCATTAGACGCCGTCATTGACTTGCACACCACGTGCGTCTTTTCCTTTCTTGCGTCAGCACGGTTTGTAACGACTGTGGAGGGCATCCCCGCCTGCGCACTGCATGTGCGCGGGTGCGTGTGTGCGTTTTTCTTTTGTTGTTGTTTTCAGCAGTCCGCAGTGGTGTTTCCATTGCGCGTGGACTGATACGTGAAGGGGGTGAACGGCAGCGGCGGAAACGGGACCATAACCTCACGAGGAGCGAATGGGAGGGAAAACAACCGAAGAAGTAATGGCTGCCTATTATGCCCCACGCTGCAGCACAAAGAAACAAGTACATACGAAAAGAAAATGCGTGTGTGTGTGTGTGAGAGAGAGAGAGAAAGCGAGGGTCTTGTCGTGGGGAAGAAAGGGGGGACGTGAACATTCTGGAGGGAACTGCGGAGGACTGCACTTTGTTGTCCTCTTGGTGACATGCCTCACTCACTTCTCCACCCGTTTCCCTCCTCGTGAGGATCATTATTGCGCATTTTCCTTTATCCTTTTTTTTTATTTTCGTCACTTGTCGGTCAGAACTTTTTCGTTCCCACAGGCCCTCTTCCTGCCGCTTGCTCGTGCGTTTGTTTCTGCTCCTGCTGGCGCGGATCGCCGCGTGTCAGATCTACTGCTATTATTATTTTTTTTTCCATTATATATATCTATATGTCTTCCGCACCTTTCAGCGAGTGAATGGT